AGCTGTAAGAGTTATGCTATCTCTGGGCTTGTGTTCTGCATTATATCCCATCAACCCCACTCTTCTTTTTCTCCCACTTTAAAAAAAACTGCGCACGCAACTCACCATATACTCTGTATCCCTACTCTGTTATAATAATACGCACGCAAGTCAGGTGGTGGGGTGGAAAGTATATACAATAAGATATTTCTAGAAGTTACTGTATTATGGAGAGGGGATAACGCCATTTTTTATTTATAAGGAAATGTAAAATTTTATTCTCAACAGCTCCCTACTCTTTTTTAATATATACTTAATATTTGCGCACGCAACTTTACATTTACCACCTTTTCATCTGTTTTTCAAAAATAAGGAAAAAAAATTTCTAAATATGTAAATGTTACAGGTGTTTGAAAATAAAAAACAAATTTGAGGAATCGCCGAGGATTCCTCGTTTATTCCCTGCCCAATTTCACTCGCGGAATCCGCATGAATTACACGCGAATTTCCTTAAGGATTTTTTTATAGATACAAAAACAATAGTGTAGGTGCACCAATTGTCGATGATTTTATACAACCTGTGACTGATATTTTTTTTCAGGAATAAATGTACTTGAAACTTGAATTTTGTGCGCTTGGATGAAGAATTTAATGTTTAATTTTCCTATTTATTATTCTAAAATAAATTATAGTGACAGATAAAAATTGTTTTTAAATGTCAATTGAGCAAAATCACCATTTGTCAATGGTAGTGTACCAATTTCTCGAGATTTAGTTCCAATTCTTGATGGTATGGAATTTGTTTAAGATATAAGCTGACAATTAATGATTAACCTATAAAACCCACGTGAACAAGTTCACGGGAAAAAGTTCCGGAAAATTTGTATTTCCTATTAAATAAGGTCCCTAAGTATTTGTCTGGTGTCTAGGTCAATTTTGGCAAATTTTTACAGAAAAATTAACCTGAATTAACAAAGATAGAAAACCAAGAGTTCTCAACATGACTGACTAGGTCAATTTTGTTCATATTCTGCGGGGAAATTAACCGAAGTTAACAAACATGGAAACTTCCACCCTACTGGATAAACGTAGGTACGATTTATGATTAGATCGTACATAAAAACTCACGTGAGAACGCTGGCTAGATTTCAAGCAACACATATGGTATTCATTCATTCGTTTGCACGTGAGTTTTCATTTCAGCTACTCCTACGGAGCAAAAATAAGACATAAGATCTTACATACGAACGTACATGCGTTCACTGTTCCAATTTCTTCATACGTCACGTAGTACGTGGCGCATGTGTCTGTATGTACGAAATTCGAATTAAGAACTTAAATGAGTTCGTACGTAAGATCTCTCACAGGATACCATATGTGTTGCTTGAAATCTTGCCAGCGTTCTCACGTGAAAGAATTAAAAAGAATAGAAGTCGAAATGGAAGTGGGAATGAAAATTAGAAGAAGTGGAAAATGGATATAAAAATTACAAAAAATGAAATTAGATGTGGGAATGAAAGTGGGAATAAGAATTAGAATTTGTTAGTTAATATTCCTGTATAAATAAGCCAAAAGTTTCCTTGACCCCTAAAAGATATTTTGAGAATTCCTGGTTTTCCATCTTTGTTAATTCAAGTTAATTTCCCTGTAGAAAAAAATTGACCTATCACTGACGTTTAGTAAACAAAAACTTAACCAACTTTATTTTGCATTTTTTTTCGTTTAAAGTATCAACAAATGGTACATCAGTTCTTCTACAATGATGTTATAAAAATTTAATACAAAATACAAAAAAAGAAATTATATTAGAAATACAATTAATTTGTATTTTTAAAATTCATCTTCCGACATTATGAAGTATTAAGAAAATGGCTAATCGAGTAAATTTGACAGCAGTAAATTCTAATTATATGAGAATAATTAATATAGTGCTAACAATATTAAATTTAATAAGGTATATATATATTTGAAAACACAAGGTTAATTTACAAATTATTTTCGTTTTTAAATTTTCTACAATATACTATTTATTTGAAAAAGAAAATTACGACCATCGACAAGCAATTGGTGCACCATCGGTAACACAGCCCCACAAAAAAAGTGTCGTGCGCGGCGGACAAATCTCGTCATTCCCTATGTATTTTGACGCGCTGAACACGAATTAAAAATCCGTTTTGCTCCATCACGTCAGGATTTTTTTCTAACCTTAAAACCTGTCGGATTTTGAGAGGTAAGCTTTTTTTTTAAAAATGAAGGATTTACTTCAAACTTGGTATGTAGGGTTATTTTGGGCCGCTGGTTACGAATATGAAGTTAGATTTTCAAAATTCAAAATGTCGGACGAAAATTTTTAAAAATGATGAATTTTTATGAATTTTGGTATCTAGAGATTTTTTGCGTCGCTAATTACGAATCTGAAGTTAGATTTTTAAAATGGGGCCAACGGGGTGACACAGCCAATTGCTTCTTATTTCTGCATCACTTTTTCAAATCGCACGCCGTCGATATTGTAGAGTGCTTATAACGGTTCATCGAAAAGCCCTTCTTTTAGTTTCGTATCAGAGATTTCTAGAAACTTTTGTTCCAGGTATTTGAAATAGTTTCCTTTTTTATCTAAGGCAAACAAACTGTTTCATTGCTCCTAGTTTTGTGTGTAAGGGTGGAATTAGCACCTTTAAAGGGTCAATCAGGGGATTTTCTAGTATATTTTTTGAACCTGGTGTTTTTGTAAATCCTGATTTTGTCCAAGTAGTTTGCTTAAAATCTCGAAACCTCCACAAATTTGCCAGTTGTGTTCTCGGTATCTAATTTTATCGAAAACTAGTTTCATATATTCATAGTTTTCTTTTATTTCCGTTGAATGCGCTATTGGAATTGGAGCATAAATATTAGTATTATGTAGTAGTACTACTTTTAAACTTCTTTTTGAAAAGTCAATAAATAGTCTTTAATCATCTTTTCTCTGTCTCGTTAAAAGCTAGCTGTTGAGCTTTTTTATAACAAGTTTTTCTTCTTTAACACTGATGCTAGGTGTTCTGCACAATCCTTGGGTAATTTTAAATCTCTAATGAGATTGCTAAGTTCTCTTGGTTAAACGTTTGTGAAATCTTTTTCTCTTGTTCATCATGCGGTAGGTAATAATCGTCCTCATCATCGGCTCTCCGGTCGTTATTTAAAAAATCTAGGATATCTTCAGTTGAACTGTCAATTTGTAAGGTTTTATGAGAGGAAGGTGGATTGCATGAAATTTTTGTTTTTTTACAGTTGGGACGTTGGCATACAATATGTTCTTTTTATTTTAGTTATTATATCCTTGCAGTACATTGGTGTTGCAAAAATAACAATCTTTTTGATTTAATGGTTTTCCCCACAAAGTTTGCTTTATAAACTGTAGTTTATCTTCTTTAGTATGATTCCAACGAGTTAACATTGTGTAACAGGAGCTGCACATTTTTTTTAGAACCCAATTTTTATCCTGATTGGCTATCTCAAGATAAAAACAATCTTTGTAAATCTGTTTGGTATTTTCATTAATTTATTTACGAATTTTTGGGACATCGAATTGCCCACATATGTAACAAAATTCATCTGCATTGCTGTCGCATAAGTGTTCCCAGGTTGTTACTGCAAAATTTACTTTTAAAGTCTTTAGAGTTTTATTATTGTTTTGATTTTGCGAAGTCATGATGTTTATAAACACCTGCACGTTAGGGATCCTGGCCCGATCGCAGGTGAGTCCGCCGTCCTAGGGGTGTTAACTCTCATGCCTCCCCAGGCCTAAGTATGAGAGCTTTCCGACTTTGATGAAGACAAAGTCAACTCGTCGTCGGACACACTACGGCATCATTCTCAAACCCTAACGTCCCCTGCAGGGCAGCGCGCCTACGCTGCCTTCGTTACTTTGATAAACAGGAAGCGAATCATTCTACACATCCCCATTCGGGGCAGTTGTCATCGCCTACTACATTTATTGAAGAAGCAGGATTAGTATTGTGCCGAAATACAATGAAAGTGTAAAACGTATAAAGTAAACAATATATTTTTAAGGAATAAGATAGAGAAGGATAGAGGATATTAATGTTTTTTGTATCTCGTTGCTTAAAAATTTTCCATTAAACTTTTATATCTTTTTTGCACACTATTACCTCAATAAAAAATGTTTTGTGCATTTGTTAAATTGATCTCTATAAAACAATGATACCTAAGTATCAGTTCCTGAAAAATAGTACACTGGTTCATTCCAAAAAAAAAAGTTACAGTTTCCGCTGCACAACAGTCTACCAAAGAACATTTCGGAGTAGCCTGGGCGTTAAAAATGTAAAAATCTGACTATAGATTCGTAATCAGCGACCTAAAAAACCCCTAGATACCAAGTTTGAAGTAAATCCATCAGTTTTTCAAAATTCGTCCGCCATATTGGATCCGCCATTTTGAATTTTGAAAATCTAACTTCAGATTCGTGATCAGCGAACCAAAAAACCCCTAGATACTAAGTTTAAAGTAAATCTATCATTTTTTAAAAAAATAGCCTACCTCTCAAAATCCGATAGGTTTTTGGAGGTTAGAAAAAAATCCTGACGTGATGGAGCAAAACGGACTTCTGATTCGTGTTCAACGCGTCAAAATACATAGGGAATGACTAGTCTAGTCCGTCGCACACGACACTTTTTTTGTAGGGCTGTGTAATTGGTACACTTATCATATATTAAGATAACTCAAAAATTAAAGTTTCCATTAATTATATTAAACACGTATAAGAATAATAATAGTACAGTAAAATTGACACTGATACTTACCGGTTAAACCGGAAAAAAAACATGTCATAGTAATCAAGCCGACAAAATTCTCCAATGTAGGTTAGGCTAGTAGCTACATATAAGCTCGCGATGTTTGTGTAATGTATAAAATAATACAAACATATAACTTTGCTTCTTCTAAAATTTCATATAGAAAATGTGCTAATGTGTATTTTGTGTCTTGATCAATTCAACAATAAATACTATTATGCTTTATAATTTCAGGTAACTTATATTATAGACAATGCAGTGGAAGAAGAATGCAGAGGTAGCACCTGGACTCCAGGGAAAGTGTGGACATATTATCAGGATGAAAAAATTAGTAGTCATACACTTCAAAGTGATTCTAATTCTGTAACATTTATGGGACGATTAGCACATGAATTAATACGTATTACTGATCCCAAGTAAGTTAAGTTACTGTTTATTTTTTGTACCTAGGTGCGAATTGGCGGTCGGCCCTTGGGTGGGTCAACTTAGTGAACTTGCCCCTATCGGATTGTGAAAACCGAGATCTGACTGAACTCAGTCAAGGTTCGGTTTTAAATGTTACGTCCGCCAACGTAACATAATTAGTAAATTTTAATTTATTTTCGAGTCTAGACTCATTGTCCACAACTCAAGAATCTTTCAAATTGGTTTGTTTTAAAAAGGGCTAAATTTAAAAGGATTGAAAAGGTAATAATGCACTAGATACACTAAAATCTTTTCAGAAGGTATATAAAAAAATAATGAGCAAATTTTTAAAGGAATGAAGGAACTAAAATTCGCAAATTAATCGCACTACGTCCTTCGGAACTAGAAGTTTGACAAGTGAGTTTAAAAAAAGAAAAAACATTAAGGGGTTACACCACTTTGACCCGCCCAAAAAATACGCTAATTTTTTAAGAAAATTAAAATACAGTAGGTTATTAAACTGCTCATGAATTTAAAAAAATATTTGTTTTTTTTCAAAAATGTCGGTCTGACAGATGATATGACGGAGTGCTTCAAAAATGGATTGCCTTGCGGTGGGCACTATAACTCGGTCCAGATTTGAGCTAGATAAATCTAATCTAAAATAAGCTTATACCGAAGTCCCCTAGTACAAGTGTTGGTACTTAAGTCGCAAGACCCATTGCACCTAACCCCGGCAAGCTCGAACCCAGTCTCTCTCCCTAGAGTCCTGTCTTATTCCAAAAGTCCAGTTACTCTTCTACTGAGAGATCCCGAATCCTATCTGGGTCTATAAAGGCATGACCAGCATTGATGTCTCGCTGCAGCGAAAGCTGGACAGTGACATAAAATATGAGTCGAAGATTCCTCTTCTGCGTCACACAATCTGCATCTAGGTGAGACGTTTCTGCCTACTTTGTGCTGATGGTAGTTCAGAAAGTTATGTCCTGTGAGCAGCCTGACCACTGCTCTAACTCTGATCTTGTTGAGTTTTAGAAGGAACTCTGCAAAGCCCCTGTTGAGTTTTAATCTCAATAGAGCCTTGGCCTGTCTACCTACAGTAGTCTCCACCCACTCTCTTTCATAACATCCCCTAGACCGTCTTTCAATGGCCCCTTTCATCGCGCCTGGCATTTTGCCTATAGCCGGTTCAGGGCCTATCATAGTCATCTCAGACCTTCTACGAGCTAAGATATCCGCTTCCTCATTTTCTCTGATTTCCGAGTGTCCTGGTACCCAGATTTGACTCTATAGTCGGATTACTCAAGGCGTTTAAAGCCACCTAACTATCGACAAAGATAGTAATTCTCTTGACAGATTTTCCTTTTTCATGACAAATCATTGCGCAAGTCAATACAGCGCAGACCGTGGTGTAATTACCTAAAGATAATGTCACTTAAGTTGCATTAGACTTGTAGTATACACCATCCCCTAACGTTCCCAAGTGCCCTCTCTGTCAATTCTAAGAGTGTATCTACGAGAGATCTCTTACAATAATCAGGAAGTCGTCCGCATAGCTTTGCGTATAAAATCCCTGGCCGTTAAGTTCTACTAATAACTCATCTGCAGCTAAGCTCCACAATAGAGGAGATAAAACCCCGCCTTGTGGGCAACCATAGGAAACTAGGCCATTTATTTTGGCCTCTCCATACTCTGCTTCCAGGGCTATATTATGGATCATACTTTTAATCGACCTAATCAATGTTGCATTGCATATTGCTTGACTACAGGTGTTAGGGAAAGCACCCTCTATATCTAGAAAAGTGCCTACCGCATAACCTTCTGAGTGTATCTCTTCCTCTATTCTGCTAATCACTGAATGAAGGGCTGTTTCTACAGAACAGCCTGCTCCATACGCGTGCTGTCCTGGATGTAAAGGTTGATTTATCAGACATTCCAGACTGAAAAAAGTATCGATCAGTTTCTCCAACGTCTTAAGGATGAAGGAGGTTAAACTGATCGGTCTGAAGTCTTTGGCTGTTGTATAACCAGCACGTCCAGCCTTCGTAATAAACACTACTCTGGTCATTTCCCATGCCTCAGGAGTGTAGCCTAGAGCTATACTTGCTCTCATGATTTTAACGAATGGTAAACGAACACACCGCAGTCCATTTTGTAAGAGAATCAGGTATATTCTGTCTCCCCCTAGTGCCTTAAATGGCTTAAACAGGCCTAAAGTCCAATCAATCTTTTCCAGAGTCACAATGTCTGATGCAAGTTTCCAGTGTTATCGTCCAGGGCGCGATTTACGTGGATTCCGATCCCCATTGTTCTGCTCTGATGTCTGGGAAATTAATTCCCACAAGGTGTCTCAGACACTCAGCTCTGGCACGGGCGAAACGTCCGTTGGGTAGCTTAATTGAAGATAGCTTAGCTGTGGCATCTCTGGCTAGAATTTTATGAAGTCTAGATGCTTCTGGTATCTTCTCAATACCTTCGCAAAAGCTCCTCCAGCCAGATGCTCGAGCCTTGTCTATCTCTTTTTTATCTTACCCCTAAGATTTTCCAACTCAGCATTCCACCAAGTAGTTTTCCTGATAGTTTTAAGTGTTTTTGGGTTACAGTTTCTCTCAAAAGCGGAAATAATTGAATCCTGCAGAAAATTTGCTGCAAGTGCCAACTTTTCTTCTATACTATAACTATTAGTTAAGCATCCCATGGAGTCCCTAAGGTCTTCCCAATATGAAGACCAATTGGTACTTCTAGCATTACTACCCCACTTATATTCACGAGCAACTGACTCTATTCTGAACGTTATAAGTCTGTGGTCTGAAAGATAGTCTTTATCCAACACTCTCCAATCCTGCACTTCCTCCCACATTGACCTCGAACAGATAGTAATATCCAAACCTCCCTCCTGTGTTTAGTGACAAAGGTAGGCTCGTTTTCCTGATTAAGGAAGTCTAGGTCTGAATCAACTAGAAAATGTAGAAGTTTCACACCTCTATCATTGATGTCTGTACTACCCCAAATAACATGGTGTGCATTGGCATCACAACCCAGAATAAGAAAAAGTCCTTCCTGATGACAGTACTCCACCAGTCTTATCACCTCGTCTGGTGGTGAGGGTTCATTTTCTGATCCCGGAAAGTAACCAGAGGCAAGAATCACCTCTTTGTTACTTCCATTTTTATCTCGATACATAACTTTTATAACTGACAGATCTCGGCTAGTTGACTGTAAAAGAGGAAACGCATTTACTCCCATATAGGCTATACACACCCGGGGTGCCAATTCCTGTGGTGAACTCACTAACTCCCCACAGTTACTCAAACCTCTAATCTTACCCTTGTAAACTCGAGGTTTTTGAATAAAGCCTGCAGCCGTAGAAACTACGCCTGAGTTCTTATGTCTCGCGACCCGAATACAACAATCAATTGGTTGTATCTACCCCAGGATTCTGTTTCCTGAGGTTAGTCAGGATTGCAGCCTGTTCCACCTTTGGACCTAGTACCCAAGCTACCGCCCTAACCCTCTTAATGAAGTTGAAAGGATCTGTTACTTTAAGTGACACGCCTTTGATTGCCTGACTAATTTTCGGTACGTGGACATTCAACCACTCCCGATAAATAAAGGCATTAGTTTCTGCAACTCAAAATCTATAAGAATCCTATAATATATAATTTCAAATTTCAAACGCGAATCTCTTCATAAGGATTTATTCTAGACAATAAACCTAAAAATGATTTTTTAGAAGGTTTATTTTTTATGAACATTTTTCTCAAAAAATCGAAAAAACCCCGTGTTTTTGTGGCAATTTAACCTCGTTTAAAAAACAGGGGGTAGAAATATGAAGTTTCAAAGGTTTATTCTCTAGATTTTAACTAAGAATCGAATGGTTTTTGGTTTTTTAAAATCTGTTCGGTAGATTTCGAGAAAAGTCGGGCACCATTTTGAAAAATGTTTTTTCGAGAAAAACGCGTTTAAAGTTTTCATAACATAATACATTGAGCCAGGACTATCAAACAATTTTTGATTACAACTTTTGTTTTTTTACATATTTTTTAAAAAACATTTTGGAACAGTAATTTTATGATACTAAGGAACATTTTCAAGCAAAAGAAAATCAATTTGTTTGGAATTTTAAAGCAGAAAGTCTCCATAAAGAGACAAAAAAACTTTTGGAAAAAATTTAACTCACTATCTGGAAAGTCACGAAGAGTGCTTGCAAAGATGACAGATACCGTTGAAAAAATTAGGTCCGTTAACCTGGCTTGTCCACATTGTTCGATCTGCATGAAACCTATTGGAAAATTAAGGGCTAATTTAATGCCCTAATAACGAATTTAATGCTTCGCATATTTTTCAAAAAACTTGTGGACAAGCTAGCTTAACACTAAGATGGCTTGTCCACACAATGAAAGAGCTATCGTAGGAAGGTCTACTCTATAGGTCAAAATTTAGGGATTTTTGAAGGCTCCTCAATGCTCTATTGCCGAATTTAAAGCCGGCATAATTTCTCGAATTATTGGCAAAATTTAAATTTTTACGATATCTCAGTTTGTCCAAAAAGCGAAAGAGTACTCGTAGCAAGGTCTACTATAGGTCAAAATTTAGGGCTTTTTTAACCCCTTCACAGTCGAGACCCAAATCTCATAAGTGGGCTCAAAATGTCACCAACATTTTTAAAAACTAAAATTTGCGCAATCAAGTATACTATTGTATTTGAGGTCGCTGATTACGAATCTTCCATCAGATTTTGAAAATTCAAAATGGCGGATCCAATATAGCGGACAACTTTTTCAAAATTTGATCGGTTTCGTTTGAAACTTGATACTCGGGGGTTTTTGAGGTCGCTGATTACGAATCCGATGTCAGTTTTTCAAAATTCAAAATGGCGGATCCAATATGGCGGACAACTTTTTCAAAATTTGATCAGTTTCGCTTGAAACTTGATACTCGGGGGTTTTTGGCGTCGCTGATTACGAATCCAATGTCAGTTTTTCAAAATTTAAAATGGCGGATCCAATATGGCAGATGACTCAGAAACAACGCAATGACGAAAACAATTGACAGTCAATCCCCTTCAACGAAAAAGATAGTGACAGTACTGTACAGACTATGACAAACGTGAATCAAGACAGTAAAAAACAATCCGCCATTTTGAATTTTCAAAATTTTGGAAAACTGGCATCGGATTTGTAATCCGCGACACCGAAAACCCCCGAGTAATAAGTTTCAAGCGAAACCGATCAAATTTTGAAAAAGTCGTATGCAATATTGGATCCGCCATTTTAAATTTAAAAAATTTTTAAAAACTGACTTCGGATTCGTAATCAGCAACCCCGAAAACCCCCGAGTAACAAGTTTCAAGCGAATCCGATGAATTTTTTAAAAAGTCGTCCGCCATATTGGATCTGAAATTTTGAATTTTGAAAAACTGACATCGGATTCGAAATCAGCGTCCCCGAAAACCCCCGAGTAACAAGTTTCAAGCGAATCGCATCAAATTTTGAAAAAGTCGTCCACCATATTGGATCCGCCATTTTGAATTTTAAAAAACTGACATCGGATTCGTAATCACAAACCCCGAAAACCCCCGAGTAGCAATTTTGGGACAAATATGTCTGTTTATATAGCCACGAATCTGCTTGCGTGTATACACGTCACCGACAGTTTGAGCCCACTTATGCCATGACGTGTATACACGTCATCGACTGTGAAGGGGTTAAGGCTCTTCAATGCTTTAATGCCGGCATAATTTCACGAATTATTTAAAAAAAATTAATTTTTATGATATCTCAGTTTGTCTAAAAAGCGAAGGAGTACTCGTAGGAAGATTTACTTGTGTAGAAAACTCTTTTGGAACGTCTAGAGTTGCTTGCCCATTTCAGCTGCTACTCAGCCACTAGTCAGACCCTAAATAGCGTCGCTCGTCTGAAAAGTCTAGCCAAACAGATCGTTAATCCTAGAAATACCACTTCCACGAAAAAAATTTTTATATATCCCAACATTTAGGGCTCAATTAGGGTTAATTTAGTACCACATGCAAAAATTTAGTGCCCTTTACCTATTTAAAGTAACCCTTTGTACTGCTAGCTTGACGTCAAGCTAGAAGTACCACACTATAGTATCTAAATATTTTCCGAAATTTCTCCTTTAGGAATTAAGGGCTCATAAACTCTCTAAATCTGAATTAGTAGTTTTCTACTAATGAAAGAGTGCGTATTCGTTTACTAATTGAATTAGTAACAGTTTTGACTAATTTGTAGTAAAAAACTACTAATTCATGGAGTAAGTCGTATTTTTTACTCTTTCAAATTAGTAAACCGATTTACTCCATGAATTAGTAGTTTTCTACTAGCAATTAGTAGTTTATTACTACAAATTAGTGAAAACTGTTACTAATTCAATTGGTAAACGAATACGCACTCTTTCATTAGTAGAAAACTACTAATTCTGATTTAGAGAGTAGGGCTCTCAACTAAGATTATTTAAAATTTTCAAAAACCACCCCTAAATTCAAAAAAACATCCCCAATTATTAAAACTTGATTTAACCAAATAATAATCATATAGGAATTAAGAGCTAAATTAGTGTTCTTCAATAGCACTAAATTAACTTTTTAAAAATGCACCCCAAGCACCTCAACCAAGTAACTGATAGAAAACCAAACACAAAAACGACTCTCAAATAATTCAAACTTAATATTTTCAAAAAACAAACACATACACATTTAGAGCTCTTAAAAAGCACTTAATTAGATATTAAAAAATGATCCACCAATTTCAAAAACTACCCCTCAGTAGTTCAAACTCAATTTTTTCAAAAAAAAGTACTAAAGAATTTGGGGCTCATAAATAGCACTAAGTTGGATGTTCAAAATTGATCCACCAATTTTAAAAAATACCCATAATTAGTTCAAACACAATGTTTTCAAAAAACAAGTACTTAGAAATTAGGGCTAATATTAGGCTCTTAAATAGAACTAAATTAAATGTTCAAAAGTGATCCACTAATTTTAAAAACTACACCTGAGTATTTCAAACTTAATTTTTTCATGAAAAAGTACTTAGGAATTTAGGGATAATTTATGGCTCTTTACGAGCACCGAGTTGGATATTCAAAAATGATCCAGCAACTTCAAAAACCACCCTGAGAAGTTCAAAGTAAATTTTTTTGAAAATCAAGTACTTAGAAATTTAGGGCTAATTTAGGGTTCTTAAATAGTACTAAATTAGATGTTCAAAAATGATCCACCAATTTTAAAAACTACCCTTGAGTACTTCAAACTCAGTTTTTACAAATAACAAGTACTTTGGAATATAGGGCTAATTTAAGGCTCATTATTAGCACTGAATTGCACTTTCAAAAACAATCCACCAACTTCAAAAACTTCGCCTCAGTAGTTCCAAAATTTCTTTTACATTTTTATATCGAAAATAACGATTTTTAATAAACAAATTAATTTTTTTAAACTTTAGAACCTATTTTTTTTACTTTTACATACCTGAAAATAGTAAGAATATTTTGCAAAACAATGTAGAGTAGTCATCCACAAAGGGTAATCAGGTTATCCGTAAAACACTTGCAAAGTATTTTTATAGTATTTCCATGTATGTAAATATAAAAAAAGTAAAAATAACGGGTCTAAAGTTAAAAAAAATAATCTGTTTATAAAAAAATCGTTATTTTCTATAAAAAAATTTAAAAATAAGTTTTTGAACTACTAAGAAGTAGTTTTTAGGATTGGTAGATCATTTTTAAACATCCAATACAGTGCTATTTACGAGCCATAAATTAGCAAGTAATTCTTAGTTGCTTATTTTTTTAAAAAATTGTTTAGACTTGCTAAGGTAGCGTTAAATTTGAATTTTTACAGTTATTTCGCGAAATTGTGACGCCATTAAATTTGGCATAAAAGCATTTAAGAGTCTTAAATAAGCCCTAAACTTTGACACCTTGAAGACCTTCCTAAGAGTATTCCTTCATTGTGTGAACAAACTAAGATAGCGTTAAATTTGAATTTTTGCAATTATTTCGCGAAATTATGCCGGCATTAAATTTGGCAATAAAGCACTGAAGAGCCATAAAAATTCCCTAAATTTTGACCTACAGTAGACATTCCTACGAGTGCTCCTACATTGTGTGGACAAACTGATAGTAATGTAAAAATTGAATTTTTGAAAATATTTCGCGAAATTATGCTGGCATTAAATTCGCCAATAGAGCATTGAGGAATCTTTAAAAAAGCCCTAAATTTTGACCTATAGTAGACCTTCCTAAGAGTGCCTTCATTGTGTGGACAAGCCACCTTAATGTCGAGCTAGCTTGTCCACAAGTTTTTTAAAGAAAATGCCGAGCATTAAATTCGTCATTAAGGCATTAAATTAGCATTAAATTAGCAATTAATTTTTAAATAGGTTTTATCCAGGTCGGACAATGTGGACAAGCCAGGTTAACGGACCTGAAAAAATTACTTCTTAACGAGAAAAAAATTTGACAATAGTACAATAGTACTTCCCTGTATATTAAAATGTTTTCAAAAAAATGCATATTTGAAAATTTTTAAAAAAATTGTATTACCAACATATTGATTTTTCTTCTTATTTGCAAGTTTTTAATAATAAAATTTTTGACAACACATTCATAATAAATTATTATTAATTATTAACCCCTTCACTGTTATTGACCTCTATAGAGGCATAAAAATGTAGTGCCACAAGTGTGTATGACCCCTATAGTAGCATCTAAAAAAAAAATAAGTAGACACAATACGATAAACTTGTCAATGGGTATTCTTATATATGGTAATATCAAGTTTAAAAAAAAAACTTTTTTCCCACATACGGGGCACGGAAGCATTATTTCTGCTACACTGCGAAGGGGTTAATAATAAACTCTGACACATGACAACGAATCATTATACTCTTTTTGAGTTCTCCACAAAATTTTAACTCAATGTATGAAGTATTTTGCGAGAAAACCTGTGAATATTTATAAATGTGAAATCATAACAATCACATAACCTTAATATGCTTGTCCTACTTGATTTTCAGTATGTTTTTGGAACAATATTTGATTGAATTTTGTAAGTTTTTACAATATTTATACTTTTGATAAGTCAAAAAAAGTTAATTAAGAAAATTCACTAATTTTAGACAGAAAAGTATTACACTATATCGTTCTTAACTTTTTACATAAACTATAATATTACCTGAAGGAGTTGTCGAATATTTAATATGAAACAATTGGTTTCAGGACAACAGTTTATATTGAACATACTTTAGCGTGGTATGATCTGAGAAACCAGACTGAGATTATTGATCATAAAGTATTTTCTATGATATTAAAAGCCATGGGTACTCCAGGCTTGTCTAGATTAGATAAAATGATTTCATTTTATGTAGCTGTTGAATTGGAAAATTTAGTACAATATGTTAATCAAGGCGTTAAAAATAAGACGTGGAAAACAATGCTGAAGGAATGTGAAGTTATTTCTAAAAATTTAGATTCAAAAAGTAAGTATAATATTAACTAATTTCAGCATAAATATATATTTTGTGAATAAACAACCGTCTTAGACTTTATCATTTTCGTCAAATGAAGGTTTTACATATAAAGGAGAATGTTATTTATAATATTGCAAAAAGATGAAATTGTGAATATTTTTCTCTAAAAATTTCAGATTATCCAGGGAGATTATATTCATCTGTTAACACATATGTTAGTAAAATCTGGTCTCCATTATTAGATTCAGTGTTAAAAATTGGTAATATGCAATTATTAAGACATTTAATTTCTTTTGCATTAAACACTGAGTGTAAGTTTGAAGCAAAACATATGGAAGGTGCTCTAAAGACTTTAAATGAGTAAGTAAAGAACATCTTCTTTAAAATTAACTACACAAAGTAGTGTAAGCAAATCGATTGACTTTATAGTTACAATTTTACGTTCTTGAGGAGGGATTTTAATACAAAAATCGGAAACAATCAACTACGTGAGTTTTTTCCTTCTAATTTTTATGCATTCCAATTATACTCAAGAGTAATACATCAAATTGAAATAAAAGGTTGTAGCACATGCTAATGCAAATAAATCACAGTTGATACTATTAGATTGTTGATCGATTGCTAGGAAAACTACTGGTGGTTCAAAAAGACATAATTTGATTAAATAACTTAGTTCATCTTTATTTAAATATCCTCTATTAGGTCTATAACATATATAAAGTTTAATTCCATCATAACATGTACATATCCAATGACCTCCTTCGCAAGAGGCACTAAAAAGTATCTGAATATGCCTTTGTTTTAATCAATGGGAATAATGAGATTAAGCATTTGTAAATATAACGTACTTTGAATACTGAAAAAAGAATTTGATTCTCTCTTTAACATTTTAGAAAATTCGTAAATATGTTTATCATTTAGCATTTCTCTTTCATTGTTAGTAATATCAAAATCATTTGCAATTAAATCAACCGCCTCTAATGAAAAATTCGTTCCCGTTTCACAAGTAACTTTTATCGCACAATCAGTATCTATTTTACACACGGACAGACTTTGTATGTTATTTTTTGTTAAACTCGCTAAAAGATTTTAATAAACTGGCGACCAAACTGGAATAAAAGTGAACCGATATTAATAATTCGTAGTCTGATTGTTATAATCAGAAAAAAGTTAAAGTCGTACAATATGTAATTCGAATGAACATTTAAAATTGACTTATTATTGAGAATTTTAAAATTTAATAGTCATCCTTATTAATAATCATCACATGGGATCCTATATATGATCTCATACAGATTCCTTTATAAAAACTGTTATAAAATCCAGTAGTATAGCTATGCGGGTTCTGAGCAACCTATCGACCTCAGTCGGTAAGGTAGATTTCGCGGGTTTAAGTCCGTGCAAAGTTATCATCAGTTGGGTGGTCTCTGTTTTACCGACAGGGTTTATGGGTAATGTCATTGAAGGTTGTTAAGGGGTCTACCCACTTTAGACGCGCTAAAATGAAGGCTGTTTTCCAGAATTTTTCTGATTGGTTTATATTATAAATATTGACATATAAGTTGTTAGACTAAAGAAATACACTCCCGAAATACATGAAAAATTTTTTGTTATTTGTTTTTGTAAATTTTATATGCTTGCAAATGGTAGTTGAAAAAAAAATCCCCCAAAAAAGATGGGTCCACGCTGTTGATGAAATCTCTGACATGAATTGTCCGAAACCAAAAAATCAAAAAGTTTTAGATTCAGTGTGGTAATAGCTATTGCGCATATCAAGGGATTTTTTATTTTTGCAAAATTGACAAAATGGCGGATATTTTTAGAAAAAACTAACACACGGTTTTCTTTAATTTTTCGAAAAATGTCCGCCATTTTGTCAATTTTGCAAAAATAAAAAATCCCTTGATATGCGCAATAGCTATTAACACACTGAATCTAAAACTTTTTGATTTTTTGGTTTCGGACAATCCATGTCAGAGATTTCATCAACAGCGTGGACGAATCTTTTTTGGGGGATTTTTTTTTCAACTACCATTTGCAAGCATATAAAATTTACAAAAACAAATAACAAAAATTTTTTCATGTATTTCGGGAGTGTATTTCTTTAGTCTAACAACTTATATGTCAATATTTATAATATAAACCAATCAGAAAAATTCTTGAAAACAGCCTTCATTTTAGAGCGTCTAAAGTGAGTAGACCCCTTAAAGGTCATAGAATGTTTTCGAAGGTCATCGAAGGTTTTCAAAATTCATAGAAGTTCGTGGAAGGTCATACAAGGTTATCGCATGTCATGGAAGGTCATAGAAAGTCATGAAAGGTTTTTCTGAAAATGGAGAATTATTGAAATTTAAATATAGTTTCTAAAAAGAAAAAACTATATTTTACTTCAAATTTTTTCAATGAAATAAAATGTTAATAAAAACGTTAAAAAAGAAAAAAAAATATTAAAAAGATATTAATAATGATATTAAAAAAAGCTTATCATATTCTGCAAGTCGGAATATACATTTATTTATTTACATTTATATTTAAAAAAGGAAAAGTTCTGAAATCTGGAAGCTTCGCACGGTGCGCCTTAACCAGACTCAACCCAAAAGTTTTTGCTCATTAAAAATTCTTTTTTCTCGTGAAAGTATATGGAAAATAAAAACTTTTCTCAAAAAAAAATCAAAATATTCTATGTAGCCGTTTTTGAGAACGGTGCCATTGAATATTTTCACTATTAAAAATAAATTTCTTTTAATGAAAATAGCGAAAAGAAGTTTGTTATTGTATTACAGTATCAGACGTGGATCTAGGGTGCACATATACATGCCCCCCCCAAAGAAACATAGTGGTTAGTTTGGGGGTTAAAACCTCCACCCCCGTGAAATTTTTTGACAAATCTGAGCAAACATACAATCTTTCCTAAAACTTCTTTTTTGCCTACGCCCCTGAAAAAAAGCAAATGAACTTATAATAATTATTAATTATAATATAACTAGCAACTTTGTCGTCCGCAAGCGGCCGACTACGTTGCTAGTGTGCAATAACCATATTTTTTATTCATTTTTTTCAAAAAAATTTAATATTAAAAATGTAAAAAAAAATTTCTTTATATTGGATCTACCACCCAAGTAGCACGGAATATTGCTTGAATGTCAAGCTGATATCAACCGGGAATATTTTTGTGACATTCAGGCGATATCATAATGTCCTCTTCACGGGGACATTCCTCGGTGATGTATCTATGTGACGGTCTTTCACACAAAAAATGTAACGCATTACAAAACTTACATTCTACACTACCGTCGGAAATTGTCGGTACGATTGACGTGCGCGGGATGAAATGTTGATGTCGCACCTAAATTAAGATATTTTAAGTTTGAGAAAAGCTAGAGACTTGAAACTTAGATCACCTGAAAGCTGATAAAATTCTGCTTCTGAATATATACCTAGAATTTTTTTTCGACTTTCTGGAGCGATTATAACACTGGAAAGATTTCGAAAAAAAACGTCTAATTTTCCCAATTTCGTACCCAATTTTTGATTCCCTGCATAATCTAGGAAAATGAAAGGAAAAATTTGTAACTCCTACAACATAATCTTTAAGATCTTAGCTTTAAAAGTAATTTTTAAGACTTAAAAAATATTGTTTCGTTTTTGAGATAAGTTGAAAAATGTCAGAGCATGTTTTTTACACAACTCAGCGTCAAAGATTAGTTCTTGCATCCCCGCTGCTTCGCCCGTTCCTTGCGCCAGGGCCGAATATGCCTGCGGGCCCCTGCTTGAAACCCGTCTTGTATTTTCTCACATTTACAGTTATTGATTATTAGAATATTAATTAATTTATTTAAAAAATGTTATTATTATTAGTTAATTAAAAGTTTAACAAATACTTTTTAATATTGTACTTAAAATTTACCAAATTGGAAAAATGTTCTTCTTTTTCAGAACTTTAAAATTTTTTGTTTAAAATTTGTAATTAATTTTGAAAAATTTAATTTGTAGTACTAATTATTTTAGTAAAAATTATGGAAACAATAATATGAACAGTGTATGGTTAATCTTTTGCATTTGTATGACATATTGAATTATTATTAATTTTTCTGTCTTATTGAGAAGAGAATGAAACAACTGCAAGAATGTAACAATGTTCTTTATTAATTAGTTAAAACCAAAAAAATATCTTGCAAACATTCAATTAAATTTAACGTAATTTATCAAAACAATATAATAATAATATAATATAATAAATAATAATAATATAAATATTAATAATAATATAAATATTAATAATAATAAAATATTTATAACATTTATAATAATCAATAACTGTAAATGTAAGAAAATACAAGACGGGTTTCAAGCAGGGGCCCGCACGCATATTCGGCCCTGGCGCAAGGAACGGGCGAAGCAGCGGGGATGCAAGAACTAATCTTTGACGCTGAGTTGTGTAAAAAACATGCTCTGACATTTTTCAACTTATCTCAAAAACGAAACAATATTTTTTAAGTCTTAAAAATTACTTTTAAAGCTAAGATCTTAAAGATTATGTTGTAGGAGTTACAAATTTTTCCTTTCATTTTCCTAGATTATGCAGGGAATCAAAAATTGGGTACGAAATTGGGAAAATTAGACGTTTTTTTTCGAAATCTTTCCAGTGTTATAATCGCTCCAGAAAGTCGAAAAAAAATTCTAGGTATATATTCAGAAGCAGAATTTTATCAGCTTTCAGGTGATCTAAGTTTCAAGTCTCTAGCTTTTCTCAAACTTAAAATATCTTAATTTAGGCGCGACATCAACATTTCATCCCGCGCACGTCAATCGTACCGACAATTTCCGACGGTAGTGTACATTTATTAAACCTAAATAATTTTGTGGAACTTTACTTTCATCGAAATCTTCAAGAGACATTATTGCAACTCCTGCACTTTTTTTATTCCTATTATCGTTTTTACATGTCAAATTCTTTTCATCTTCCGTTGCCGTAGAAAATTTTTTCTTTTTACATGACAAATTATTTTCTTGACGCCCTTTCTTTTCATCTTTAGTTTCCATTGATATTTTTCTTTTCCTACATGCCAAATTTTTATCCTTGCGTATTTTCTTTCCATCTTCAGTTTTTATAGATAATTTCTTTTTTTTGCATGTCAAATTTTTTTTGCGCTCTTTCTTTTTTATTTCTGTTTTATTACGATTACGTTTTCTTAATCTCTCATTCTCCTGTCTTATTATTTTCTGCTCATATGTAACTTCGCGCCTTGCCTTCCTTTTTCTTCCCTTCTCTTTAATTGCTCGATTTATCTTTTTATCATTTTCTTTACTCAGAAAATTTTTCATTTTTAAATATTCATGTGGTGAAATTTTGTTCACAT